AACAGTTAGCAAGAAGCCTGCCACAGCCATACAGTTTGTAAGCAATATAAGTCTCTGTGTTTACTTGGTTGAGTCTGAGCAGCTGTGGGACTGGCGGGTGACAGAGATTTGTCCTGACTGTGAGCCAGGCAGGAAATCTCTAGCTACAGTCTGGAGATGAATGGAGAGATTATCAGGGTCTTCAAACTCTGACTCAGCTTTCTGAGGACGGGTTATGTACAGCTGGTTACAGGTATGTCTTAGGGGCTTCCACAGGGCTTGACGCCAGTCACTGAGGGACAAACAGAAAGTTGACATCAGAAGCCACATCTTCACCCACCATTACCTCCTGCCCTGATATCATGGGGGCGGGGGGAGTGAGCAAACAGAAAGAACTTCTTTCTCTCTCTTACAGGCATTTTTGTCCCCTATAGAAGGCCCTGGAAATGTTGTCTGGCAAAGGAAAAACATCGCCTGTCTGGGGGCAGCCTCAGTGTCCCCAGATGGTACACAAAGGTCACTTCGGGGCCAAGAATCAACAGCTTAAAAACTGCCATTAGGCAAGTCTAGAGCTGGACCTGGGGGCTGTGAACACTAACTCGGGGGATACGGCTGTGTTCTAGAATACCAGTGACACATGAGTGTTCAGGCTGTAGCTAGGCTCTGCAGGGTGCACCAGAAACCCTGCAAAGCTACTTCGTATCTTCAGGTTGCTTCTAAACCACAAAACAATAGCCAAGCTGAAAAGCTGTGCTCTGACCTGGCTTTGCCTCGGTCTCAAATCCAGATGAGTTTCACAGTCACAGAGTCTTTATGCAGAGGTCCAGGCCCTGATCAGGTTCTGAAAACCCCAATAGGATTATAGGGAAATGTTGCTATCATTTAGACTACCACCATCATCTACAGAGCTACAATCTCAGACTCCACTCAGCATGAGCCTAGCTGACAGTATGGGAAGGGCCTAAGTTTAATCTAGGAGAAAAGAGAGAGCCCGGTGGCCCAGCAGGGGCACACGCACAAGCAAGAAGGTGCTGTGATAAGAACCCTATGGCCCCTGAAAAATCCCAGTTCTGTCAAACACACGGATTCCTGGGAAAGCAATCTTCAGGACCAGTCCCTCTTCCCCACGGGAGATACATTCTGGGAGTCCTGTGAGCACCTGTACTCACGCAGATACACAGACACGATCTTGTACACACATGCCAGCACGCTCACCTGCAGTCCCTGAGTCACTCTGATACCCACCAATGCAGAAGGAAGGTAGTTAAAGCTGCAGGCTGGTGTGGTGAACACAGAGCGATAGGATCTCCCTGTCCTCCCTTCCAAGTGGTTCATGAGGCTGTTTTGGCTTCTTTGCCAGTGAACACCCAGAAGCTGGGTTATGTAGATGTTCTGGGCAAATAATTAACCAACTCTAAAGGAAGATATATTTTTGGAGAGATGCCCAAAGGGCACCTGTTTGCCAACCCTGCCTTAGAAACTGGAGTTGAAGGAGTTGACAAAATAGGTTCAAAGCAGAGTTGAGCTGCTGTGGGTCTGCATGGCTTCACCAGGAACTACAATTTCTAAATTTTTTTTTCATGAATAAAAAGAAATCAGTTAGCTCAGAAATAATGCTTTCTCTATAAAACTGTGGCTGTTTGGAGGCTTTTTTCTTTGATTTTTTTTTTTCTTCCAAGAATGCCATAATAAAGGGAGTCTTTCATCTCAATAAAGCCAGACACAGGAAGGTTCTCGCTAAGCACTAAAACAGACAACAAATCCACTCAATAAAAACGAACCCATAAGAGCATCAGCCTGGCCCAAAGTGGGCCTGGCCCTCCCACCCCATGGGCCAACATTCGGGAAACGGTAAGGAGCACTAAGGCTCACTCTGGTGGGCTTCGCAGGGCCAGCCAGTTCAAGCATCACAGAAGGAGTAGAACATTCTTAGGGTCACAAAAATAAGGGAGTTAGAGGAGCAGAGAGAGGGTGGGTTTATGAGGGAGGGGAGTAGACCAGAGAGGAGTGGAAGACTCATATGTCAGATACATGAATGAGATATGAGGATGCTGGAGGCCAGAGCGCGGGGGTCCATGAAAAGAGTTATGAGTTTATCCTGTGATTGATGAGGATCGGAGAGCGGGTGCGGAGCTGGAAATGAGTAACAGAAGTAAAAAGTAGAAACTGGTATTTAACTGTGTTCCAGGCACGGTACCAAGCATTTTACACATGATGGCTCCTTTAATGCTGCTCATGGCTAGCCTATGATGTGGGCACTGTTGGCTCTGTTTTACTAGTGAGGACACGCAAGCACCGGGAGGCCGCACGGCGTGAAAGTGGCACGGAGATGTCGAGGGAAGAGGACAGCCACGGCCCTGGAGCCTGTGATGGTGAAGGTCCCACGTCATCTTCGTCTCACAGCCTTGACTAGGAAGCTCACAGAACATCCAGAATGAAAGTGAAGACCCAAAGCAACTCAGGTGAGAGGCGGAAGGGTTGCTGCTCTGTTCTGGTCCTGCATCAGGACCAACCCACAATCAAGTCCTCCTTTGTGGCTTAGGCGGGTTCCAGCAGGGGTTCTGATAATTGCAAACTGTTGCCCCTTCTCCCCTTATTATCACATGAGGAC